CACTATTAAGTGCAGGGTGGTGATAACAGCTCTGTAACCTGGCATGTCTTAGGATGAGATACTGCTGAAGCAGAATGAAGTCCTCTCTGCTTAGCTACCTTCAGTCAAAGCTCTTCCCTCCCTGGGGATCTCTTTCCTTGCCCACAACACTTACTATAGGGACAGACTGTTTATCCACTGATGATAAAGACTACATCACAGCAACAGAATGGAGATCCTTAGACCAAATCTATCTCAAAACTTGCTGTCTAATGCAAAGTAAACCAGCAATTGAATAATAAAGTCTTCAGTGAACATGGCACTGAAACCATGAAATACAATTGCTTTAAAATACAGTTTCAGTTAACTGTGCCAGGAACAAGAAGAGAGTACACAGGTACATATAAGTAGAATAACTTTATAAAACAAAAGAGTAGTACCCCCTATCTTGATTAGATATGACTTTTCATTATTACTTAATTTTTGCACACCACAGGTAATTTCAGTGGGGAAAAAAATAATGCATTACTGTTTATGACAGAAATAGGTTTTATAGAGCATACAGTAAATTTATTCCAAGAAATATATTCTACATCTTTTGCTCCGATATATTTTTATGAATAGTGATAGTACTGACACACACAGCAATTTTTTCAAAGTAGTATGTGAGTTTTTATTACTAGCTGTCCATTAACAAGAGACTGTACAAATCATCTTCTACCATACCCTTTCCAAAGAGATAGCAATTAACTTTATTGATTGCCTTTCCGATAATAATCATTATTTTATTTCATTTGAGGATCATGCTTTACATGCTGAGAAAGTTCATCTAATGGCAGATATCAAAAACAATAGAAGTGAGAGCATATGTTGACTGAACTAGATTAATCTATCTCCTTTTTAGTCATGCAATACTGATCTGCTGACACATGCACAGAAAATCTTTGTGGCAAGTAGACAAAATACAAGACCATGGAAAAGGTAAATAGCAAGATACAGTTCCAGACATGATTTCTGTACAGACAGTGAAGTACACTAAGCATAGAGCCCATCATACTGATGTGTCCCCTTGCACCAGACAGATGGACTTAGGGCCATCACTTACATGGACATTCAGGTGTGAAGACAAAAAGACAATACAAGAGAATACAAGTATGATATTTAAATTATTAGCTTCAGACTGAAATCTGGGATTCTGAAATTATGTCAACTGCCATGTCTCCATTGGTTTCACTGATTTCCAAAATCCATCCAAATTTAGGTGTCTTTCTTAGGCTTACTTTAACAAAATTTCCATCAGTTATAAACATAAACTACATGTGAATATGCATGGAAGAATTAGACCCAGAACACTGAGTCTCAGTTTGAGTTCATGATATTTATTTTTGTTTTACTGAAATCTTAGTATTATCTAGTATCTTAGTATTCCTGCCTTCATTAACCAGGCAGGAAAGGAGACACTTTGGACTGTTAACAATAAAAGGCTATAACCTGATTGTCCCATCAACCAGAAAATAAAAAAACTCACATGAACCAAATAGGTCAGACTGCTTAAAGACATCTTAAGCTTACTCCAAACACTTTTTTAGTTTAACTGTTGCAAACACATAGACCTTTAGAGTGATTTTAAGTAGGCGAGTGAGCCAAATGCAAAACACAGCATGTCCTCCTTTCTGTTTGCTTTAACTTCTGATAGGCTGACAAAAGGGACATGGCATGGTTGTGTGAGTGACTTCAAATAAGGGTTTGTAAGCTCTTGGGGTGCTGAGTGTACCTGCTGTTAGGACAGAAAAGATGCAGCATATGTCTAGAAGAGTACAGGATGGAGGCTGACTCTTCCAGCTGCCCCACTATTGTGACATGACTTTTGGCTGGGATGCTCCAATGCTACCCTCATTAATGTGTAAGACAGGTAACTGGGACTTTCTGCTGATCTAGCTTTCATTTCAGTTTTTGTCTGCTCCCATCCTGAGCTCAAAGTTAATTATTACTTCTGTCCCTGAAGTTAGCTAAGGAACTCACATTTCTTTCTGTAAGAGCGAAAGAGTACATTCTTTCTCCAACCTTGTATATTCTCTTTTTCATGGCACTGTGGTTGTTAAGAGCTCTTTGTCCTAGATGTGTACCACAGTAATTCTGAAAGCACTTCAATTTCTCATGTCTTCAGTCCTGGGTCGGCTTCATTTCAAAATAACATTGTGGTTAATATGCATAAAAACTCTTATACAGAGGGAGAGTGATGTTGTATGAATATAATATGAGCCATATCAGACTAGAATAAGTATCTGTTTATGTGCAAGTCTTTTGACTAACATAGTCCAGGAAAAAGTTTAACAATAGGCAAGTATAGTTAATACTCTTTTAAAATCTGGGGTACACTGCTTCATGTTTTCAGAGTTGGAAGAGAAATATGTGTACTTTGTTGGAGAATACTGGTGCTGAGAGGATTTTTATTCCACAGTTTTTCTGCACAAAAATGTTGAGGCGTCCTCTGAATTACTATATAGCTCAGAGTTCAAGTGCTTGACTACACTGGTGTGTGTAGCGTTTCGTTTTAAGAGATGTCCCAACATATTCACTTAATACCATATAATTTTTTAATTAGAAATGATAGTGAAGTCTCTCTCTGTTCATCACCTCTGCTTTTCCTCATAATGTATTAATTATCCTATCCTCTTTTCTGTGTTGTTTTTAACACTAGCTGGAAATTAAACCCCAAGGAAGGCACTCTCCTTTCGCCTACCCCATCTGGTAAAGAGAGGGACAAAAGCAGAGACTATGGGTTGAGGTAACGATTTATAGAAAGCACAAAGCAGTGAAATAAGACATGCGCCATAACAACAGCAAAAGTATACAAAAAGAGAAGGTGTTATACCCACAAAAAGGTGTTCACCACAAGGAACAAAACCAAGATGACATGAGTAGGCCATCCACATCCACATCCACATCCACATCCACATCCACATAGCTTCCCCAGGCACTCATACAACTCTCCAACCAGGACACCATCACACCTCTTTCCAACTGTCTCCACCAAGCTGAAGATAATTTCTTGTCTGAGAACAGTATTTTCATCATAGTAACATAAATGCACATCCAAAATACTTCATATTCATATGCAATACTAGAATTTGTGTGAATTTTAATAAGGTAGCTGTATGCCTCAAAACGGGAGTCCTTTCTTTAACCACAGAGAAAAATCACACTTCTCCTGCTTGTGAGTTTCAGTTGCAATTGGGAAGAACTGCTCTGCATGCCCCAACCTTCTTTCTCTTACTCCTTGTCATGGTTTGACCCTGGCACAATGCCAGTGCCCCATGAAAATACTACCTACCAATTAAATGCTGTGAAATGTGATCAAGAACAGAGCAAAGCAGGCCAAACCTAATAACAAAGGAAAAACTTTATTACACTACTACTACTACTACTACTACTACTATAAAAGGAAAAGAAAGGAAAGAAAAAAAACCACACAAAATTCGAAATGAAAACCTTCTAAAACATTCCTCCTCCCACCACCCAACTCCACCAAACCCCAGCGAGACCCATTTGGATCCTTAATCAAGTTTTCACCCTTCAATATAATCAATACTGAGTCCATCAGGGAAGAGAGGAGTCCCCCTTGCACCATAGACCCCCAGGAAACACAGCTGCCACCTCTTGTGTTTCCAATGTCACACGTGGCACCTCCCAGACACACCGGCCAGTGTGACATTCTCCTCTCCATGTCACAGTGCTCTCACCACTGTGCATGGACAGAGACTGCTTATAGGGCCCCTTTAAGGATGCTTTGCTAAGGACCACCAGGAACAACAGTCCAGTGTCGCATTTCGGGACTAGAGTCCCCCCCATTTTCCCCTGGGGCCGAGGGTCCAAGGACAGAGATCTCCTTCTCTTCTTCTCTGAAGATGGAGGGCATCCTCACACCCTCCTCAGCTCTCTCTCTGTCCACTCCAAAACTGGTAGTTGCTGAAGAAGGTCTCTTGGCTCACCAGTGCATCCCCCTAAAATGCAGTCCCTCTTGAAAGAAAGAGTGGTTTAGTCTATGGTAAACAAGCAGAGTCCAGCCAAAACCACTCCATCATCTCCCCCCAACCTTCTTCTCTGAACATCTGAGGTCCCAGGCTGTCTCTCTTTCCTTCAAATTCAGGAGGAGTAATATTTCATAAAGCCTTCATTTCACAGGAAAGGGTTAAAATTCCCGGACTCCCCGGACGGCTGCAATCTCAGCCCAGGACTCCGTCTCCCATCTCCCACGCTGGGTATCTTCCCCCCCCCCTTCTCCTTCTCTTCCGCAGGCAAACTCCCAGGTGTCTGCTGGCTCTCTATCTCTTTTCCCTCTAGCTTAGGGGAGGGGAACAAAGACATCCCAGATGTTCTCCACTCTTCCGTCCGCAGGAGCTGGCCCAGCTCGGTTCTGATCCTTCACCCCCTGGCCTACCTCTGCAGGCCACATGGCTCCCCTCCCCCACCCAGCCCGGACTGGGCAGGGGAGGTCTGTACCTTGCAATGACCGGAACCAAAGAAGGACGAGTCCTCCTGGGAATTCCGCTTTTAACCCCTCTGTGTTCTCAGAGGCGTGTCCACCTTCAATTGGTCACCCCAAGTGTCAGTATCCAAACCTGACCCCTGACTGGTAGACCTCTTCCTTCCAAAAAAAAAAAAATTCTCTTCCCGTGTCAAACCATGACACTCCTTAAAACTTCATTACCTCTGTAAATTATGGAATTGCACAACTCATTCAGAAAAGTACTTTCCAGTCATGTTTGTGAAGGCCAATTCTTAGATGCTTAGGAGCCTGTTTGACATAACAGAGAGTTTAGAAATTTACCCTCATTATCCCAGTGCACCACTCTGCTCGGCTAGTGCAGAACATCTTGAGAAACACACGTGCACAATCAGCAGTACCTCCATGCTGTAAGTTAACAGAGTGAAAGATTGACAGGGCATTTGTACTTCAAGGCTAAAATATACAGCAAGTTTTGAAAAAGCAACTTGGAATAGCCTGTCTACCAAGCCTATTTTTCATTTGTATCAACCCATTCAGGAGCAAAAAATGCCATAAACAAGCTTCACCCTACAGACTATATCTATATCTTTGTCCTGCCCCACTGGTGTTTTCAGAATCTCAGGTTACCTAGAATATGATCAAAGGTGCCTTCCATGATTTTCTTACATTCAGTGTTTGCCTGGATCTTTCAAAAATCACACAGCACATACTTCAGAGTGTAGAATATGGCAAAATGTACTCAGTTTCATATGAATGTTATAGGCCAAAGACAGACTGATTGTGTGCTTATGGATAAAGTATGCTTCATGAATTCTGAAGATCTTAACTTGGAAGTGTAGTGAACATCTGCTGTGCAAACAGAGACCAGCAGATGTTTTGATTTTGCCTACCTTTTTTTCATCTTAGAAGCTAGCCATATGATATCCTTATTGTGCATTGGGCTTGTCCACCAGTGAAAACAAAATTTTTATAACTAAACTTCATCATTGTCTGAATACTGAGAAGCAATACGAATCTTGTTTTTCTTTTTGTTATAGCTTGAACTAATAACCCATTATTTGGCTCATACAAATGCTTATTTGCTCTGCTGAAGACTAAACTGCACAGACCTCTGCCTGAAAGGAGCAATTTTTGGCAGACTGACACTTCTCCTCCTACATTATAATCTTTTTCCAAAGTCATGTGGACAGATATTTTGCTCTTATTCAAGTACTATGTATTCTCTTCAGTCTGTGTCAGAACTCCCAGAGGTGTCAATGGGATTTGTGTGTGTAAATAAAACATTACTGGCCTCAATTTGTGTGTGTTTAAACAGTATTTATGTGGGAAGTCTGGACTTCAAGTTTCTAGCCCTGGAAAATTTATCTTAAAATAATTACAGCCAGTGAATTACTGGTATTTTAAAAGATTGTGAAGTATCTCTCCCAACTTTTAATGATAAAAAGTGATAATTTAAGAGCTTAATCTCCTTTTATTCTGCCTTCTTGAGAATACTCTTATATTTATAGAAAATTCTTTGTTTCTTTCATATGTTCTGTTTACGACTGAGGCCTAAAGTGGCCAAAAAATCAACTCACATTTTATGACTAAAATCCTGATAGCCTAGCTTTGGCCCCGCAGTACTGAATGCACAATGCATCTCCTCCACTGTCCTTCCACTATTACCACTAAAAAAACAAATTAAAATTTTAACTGTCAGAAAGGGCTAAGACAGTGTGTTCCACCAATGCATTCTAACATAGGGAGCTTCCAAGAGCAGGTCCTGCTTTGCAGCAAGACTGCAGTCTTGATCTTTGCTATAGTCTGGGGGCAATGAATGAAGCTACAGGGAGGTAAGGCACTGCAGCACTGGGAGGTGAAGCTTCTCAGCCAAGAGGAGAAGACACACATCCCAGGACTCAGGAGCTGGACGTGTCCTTTCTCCTAAAGGGCACAGGAAGAAAGAGGATAAAGTAACTTCCCAAAGCCTTTTCTTTCTCCCCCTTCCCTAGAACAGCTCTGCTGCTTTCATTTAAACTATGAAAGCTGGATATAACCTACCAGGGCCTGGCACTACTCTGGTACTGTATTAATGTCTCCCTGGTGGTGGATTTCAGAGATCATTTTCTGAGATTGAAAGTATTTCTACCCCTACTCTGAAAATGCTATTCTTGAAAGCTTTCCTCCTCATACAGTTCCTTAAACACCCCCTGCTGAAATACTGCCTGACACCTGCAAGAGGAAGTGGAAGCAGAGTAATCCCGTACACTGGCAAAGGTTAAAAGGAAGAAAAAAGACTAGTTCTGCTAGCTACATATTGTGTTAGGTTTCCTCAGATGGGCACTGTGTGCTTGAGCACAAAGAAAGTCTTAAAACAAGCTTAACTAACATCAGGTTCTGATTTGTGTTGAGCTGTCATTTTATCTCTAGTTTAGCTAAAATCTAGAATTCTGTAAAATTCCTGCAGAAGACCTAACATTTCAGTTGCAGCTGGGTTTCCACTGTGGCACAATGCTGCTAGCAGAACATCCTTACTGTAAAAACAAAACTGACCTGCATTCCTTCAAAAATTGTAGGGTATGTGATATTGTGGTGCTGTCTCTGCAGGCACAAATACTGTGTGGACTGAGTGCAAGGATGTGCTCTGTCCAGCTGTATTTGGGGAACGTGAAGGGGGGGGGGCGGGGGGAACACAATGCTTTTCTTCTCCATATTTGGAAAGATGCTTGGCCATGTTTCATTGAGTAATTCAAGCAAAAAGCTATTTGGCTAAAGGACAGCAATCCTCAGACTGTTTGTTTGCAGAAGGGTTTTTAACTGGGGGTAAAGATTTCCCTTTTGTTTAGTAATCAGAGTGGTGTTAAATGACCATATGATCTTGTGAGGAGACAGTAAAGAATTACTGGAATTCACCAAGTCTGTGGATTTTAATAAGACAATTAAAGAGAAACAGTAATCTGATTGTAAAAGCAGCTGAAGCGCTGCTTTTAAGCTTTTCTTGTCAGGACCAGTCAGCCTTCTTCTGTCACATGACAAAGACAGTTTATTCACAAGATCTAATTTTTTTTTTTTTTATTACCTGCTGTTTTGTAATGAAATAGACTCACAGGCCAGCACGACCTTCTTAAGTACCATGTAATCAGAAGCCACATTAAACCTGCATTTTCTTTTCCGATAATGAAACTCAGGGCAGATATTTTGACCTTCAGGGACTCTTAAAGTGGGAAAAAACTCCTTCTGCTCTCCACCTCTCCATCTGCTACAGATCAGTATGAACCAAAGCACAAAGAATATGCATGAATACAACAGGGAAAAGACCATCAAAAGAAGAGGGCTTAAGACACTCCACATGGAAAGGATTTGTAAAAAGCTGGCAGGCAAGTTTAGAGAAGGCTATTTCATTACAACAGAGATTTTCCCTGGAAATGCTGTTTTCAAAAAAGCTTAGTGAACAGATAGTGAACAGAATGCTTGCTGCTTACACATATATACATGACCTTCACCATCTGCAAGACAACTCTTTCTTTTGCAAGTACAGCCTCATGGATAAAATACCTTCTTGAGGATTTTGCATGCTGAGTTCAAGCTTTTAATTTTCAGTTTATTCCAGAAATTATTCTAGGGTTTGTTAAATCACACCAGGAGCAGAGTTAATTCTCTGCCTGCCCTCACTCTTTCCCTCATACCATTAGATTTCCTTTACTACAGATTCTGGTGCTAACGTCTCAGTATCTTGTAATGCTTTAGTGCCTCCTCTCTGCACAAATAGATTGAATGTCAATGAATGTAAAGAGAGGTACCTGTGTTATATACAGGGAAAATATATTAGGAGAATTATTCACTAAATACAAGTCACTTGATTCTTTTCAGAACCTTTTGCACACTAATTATCCATAGACTGAAATTCCCCTCACCATTCAAATTCTCCTGGTTTTTGCTTCACATCAGTACTATGCTAGTGTCTCAGTCTTGCATCCATAGTCAAAGTTTAGCTGTTCACTTCTTTATTGCTCTACTACTGCAAACACCCTGTATGATAGACATATTTACATCTTGCATTGATGAGTTCACTCTGCAGCCCTGTACACATGTTTATTTTTGTTAAACCAGTAAGAGCTTCTGTGCAGCATGACTGGAAGGCCTGTGTGACTTAAGAAAATACATGCTTTTGCAGATTGTACATGAATCAAGGATTAATTTAGAATTGCCTTGTTATTTTTTGCATTCGTAATTCTGATGAGATCACCAAGACTGAAACTAACTACTGTGTTTTCACCATTAGTCATACCTGATTGCACACTGGCAACTGGCCATTGACATGAATTGTTCTTCGTTTGCTAAAAGTGTTTTAAGTACATCTTCTTTTTCTCTGCTTCTGAGTCCTAAAATGTGTGGCATTTATAAATACGAATCTGGGATTATGTAAATATGGGTGAGACAGTTAGCTTTCCAACAAGCTAACCCTGACTAAAGTACTTTTTATGATTTGAAAACTCAGGAGTAATAGCAGAACATCGTAACTGCAATAATCCTCTTTGGTTAGGAGCACCTTGAGACACCAGACTCATCTTGCCTATACTTCTCCATTCTTTCATTCTGGTTTGTGCAAAGACCAACGCAGTCTTACAGCCTAGTGCAATATAGATGAGAAGACTAGGTGTACTAGTGGTATGGTGTGACCACAGTGATGCAATTAGAGCATCATTTATTTAATCTTTTAAAGACCAATTGCGCAAATCAACTTGCTGAGGACTTCAGTGGTTATAGCAATTTTCAGCTATCCTTTCATGACAAAAAGGTCTCATAGTAACCCAAATATGATGTTGTCTGTTTCATTTCACTATAACATGAACAGAAACTGATCAGTCCATCACATAGCACATCCTTCAGTACCAGAACTGTTCTCCACACATGCCTCTGTAAGATGCCTCTGTAATATTTCTATATTCTCTTCAAGCACTGACTTGCAGATTTTTGTGAAGGACTTGCACTATTCCATAAACGTAAAATATGTAAAAACATGTTGGATGTGTATATCAGATGCATTATTTTTCTAATTAAATGTTTTCTGTTACTTCGTCTCTTGTCATTTGTAGTGAAATTTGAGTATTGCTGGGAAGTCAAAAGGACAGTACCAGATCAATTTTCTACCAGCTAAAAGCCTCAATGTGTAAGAAATGTGTAATTCAACCAAATGTAAATGTGGGGCTGAACTTGCAAATGCACCAATATAGTGTGTATTCCATTCATTGCACTGTGATATGTCAACAGCAGACAATATAGGGTGTATTCCATTCATTGCCCTGTGATATATCAACAGCAGCAAAGTCAAAAGGAGTAGAAAATGTGTAAAAGAAGGAAAATATCAACAAAAGGCCAAAAGTGGCAATCAACAGTTTTACATGGCTAATCTCTCCCAGGGAAATTTTGCTAAGAGTAAGTTACTCCTGGAAATGCAGCTGATTAAGGAGAAGACAGTTTAATTTGAAACCAATGGCTAAAATAAACCCAAGTTCTCGACTAATTTTATTCTTGAGAATTAAATCTGTACTGAGACTGGTTGAAAGGTAGTGGGTTCTGAATTTGGCAGGAGGCCTCTTTGCAAGTGTATCTCTCTCCTAAAGTGATTCACAGACATCAAGACAGCACAGGCCCTCTTTGGAGAAATGGCTTCTAATGTCACAGTTGGCAACCAGGAAATTTTCATAACATGCACAGTTTATTGTCACTGTTGCTACATGAGTGTGTATGTTTGCAAACACACATTGATGTACATATGCAGGTGCTGTCCCTGTCTTTTATTCACACACCCTTGTGGACACTCGCGCCACGTATCTGGACACCTCGCTGTCATTGCTGTGAGATGTACATAAATAAAGTATTGCTCCATCTTGAAAGCTGAAAAACTGAGTTCTCAGGCTGCTGAAGTGTGCCCTTGAACGACAGAGGGAGACTGTGACAGAGCCAGGAGCGAGACCAGAGCATATGGACCCTTCAAACCTCCCACCCGCAAGCGCATCCTCCCTGCAAAACAAAGGGCTAAATTAACGACGATTAATTTAGCACGTGTCAGCGTAAGTCCTCACCCCGTTCCCGCGAGTAGCAGTTCCAACCCGTGCGGCGAGGGAGCGGAAAAGGCGCTCCTCGCTTTTCGAGGGGGTCCTGCCTTTCGGACCCCCTTCGCTCCTGCTCGGCGCGTTTCCAGCGACCGCCACCCGCCCCGCTGTCGGGCTGGCCACCGCCAGCCGTGTGGGACCCATCGGGGCGGGACGGGGCGGCGGGAGGCGGGGAGGGACGGGGGGAGAACGTTACCGAAAGGCGAGGAGGGGAAAACGGAAAGAGGGGCGTGCGAGGGGCAGCGCCTCAGCCGCGGGGGATTAAAGAGCGCAGATACCTGCGGGGGCCGGCGGGGAGGCAGAGAGGCAGGCCGGACGCGGCTCCGAGTAGAGTAGAGTAGAGTAGAGTAGAGTAGAGTAGAGTAGAGTAGAGTAGAGTAGAGTAGAGTAGAGTAGAGTAGAGTAGAGTAGAGTAGAGTAGAGTAGAGGTGGGGCTTCAGGGGGCCACCAGAAGCTCTTCTCCCGCAGCTGCCGGCGTCTCCCCGCGCCCGCCGCCACGCCATGTGGCCCCTGGTGGCTCTGTGCTGCTGGGGGGGACTGTCGCTGTCCCTGTCGCCGTCGGCGCCGCAGGGCCGGGCGGGCAGCCAGCCGGGCAGCCAGCCGGACGTCCTCCTCCGCGCCCCAACTTTCGCGTCGCCATCCCTGGAGGCGCCGCCGGTGCCCGACACGACGGAGAGAAAGGTGGAGAAGCTGGGGCGCGCCTTCAAGCGCCAGGTGCGGCGTCTGCGGGCGCGCAGCGGGCGGCTGGAGCTGGTGTTCCTGGTGGACGAGTCGTCGAGCGTGGGTTCGGCCAACTTCCTCAGCGAGCTGCGCTTCGTCAAGAAGCTGCTCTCCGACTTCCCCGTGGTTCCTGCGGCCACGCGCGTCGCCATCGTCACCTTCTCCTCGCGCAGCAACGTGGTGCCACGCGTGGACTACATCTCGCGGCGGCGGCCGCAGCAGCATAAGTGCGCCCTGCTGGGACGCGAGATCCCCGCCATTGCCTACCGCGGCGGCGGCACCTACACCAAGGGCGCCTTCCAGCAGGCGGCGGTGAGACGGGGCGGTGGGCGAGCGCTCCGCGGGGTGCGCGGCTCCGCGGGGTGCGCGGCTCCGCGGGGTGCGCGGCTCCGCGGGGTGCGGGGGGATGCGCTACCGGGGTGCGCTGAGAGGAGCGAGCGGTGCTGCCGTGAGGTGCAGCACTGGTGCGGTGCGGGGTGCGCAGTGGCAGGGCGAGGTCTCGGCATCGAGGGAAGGCGCGGCGATGCGGCTCGCGGTAGTGCGTGGGATGCAATGGCTCGGCGCGCGGTGCGCTGCGTTGTGCTCTGTGTGGTGTGGGAATGTGGTTCTCTGCGTTGTTCGAGGGTGTTCCGCGACAAAGACTGTAGGGCTGTATGCTGGGGTGTGGAATGGTGTGGTGTGGGATGCAGAGTAGTCTGGTCAGAGCAATTAGTCACTATCTTCCCGTGCTGTCTGCACCTCCGACTCCCATGTTTTCTACTGCCCTTGCAAACAAATGTGTGAAATTCGTTCTTTGTAGTGACATGGAGCCTGTGTCTCAATTTCAGAAATGATACATATGAGTAAAGTCTGGCATCTGAAGTGCCTGCCTGGTTTCATGGCAGCAGGACTTGAGTGCCCGCTAGCTGTCAGACCTACCTACATACTGTTGCCAGGTGTCTGTTTTAATTGCTGATGACTTAAAAAGGTCCCCTTAAGCTCCATACAGTATGCCAATAAGTAGGGGCGTGTCCCCAGGAGCATTTCCAGACACCATAACACAATCACTTTTCATGCTGTCATACAGACCCATAGCAGAAATTTGGTCTAGGCAGCCTTTGGACATGTGTTGGCACTTGGTCATACTGGGGTGACGTCCCAGTTGATGGTTAGGAGACAGCCAGTTTACTCAGGAAGCTTTTTTCATGAGGCTAGACCTGGATCTTCCTTGTCATTTGGCCTCTCCGTTCAGAAACAACCACCAAATCAAGTCTCATTTGTGATTCTTAATTTTTTTTTTTTTTAATCTAATTTCTGGTAGTGTCCTGTAGCAGAGCATTTGGGTGCACTTGTCTTGAAACACTTACACATTCTCATTTGGAGCTGAGGAGTGAGATTGCAAGAGGTGCATCTCTGCTGGGCATGTGAAATTGGCAGAGATTAATCTCTTCACTTTTGGCAGGAGAAAGAAAGTTCACTTAAAATGTGTTCAGGGCTGCACATGCCAAACCTGCTTTAGGAAAACACATCCCTGTATTATATCTGCCACTGTGAAGCCATGTTTCAATATATATCCATCCCAGGGGTGTTATGTGAAAAAGTTAATGATACAAGTTAAAAATAACCATTAAAAACAAAATATAAGCTTACGAAATACCATCTGTTGTCTTGATATGAAATCTTGACTGATGATTCTTTAAAGTGGAATAAACAAAAAAACCCTTCAGAAACCTACAACTTAGTTCCTTAAGCCCAGCTAAACTTTGTGGCTGCAACAGCATGACTGTCATTTTACACTGTGTTCTTATAAGAATGTGGGAAGAAAAATATTCGCATGGTGACAGGGAAAATTAAGATAGAATGATGAGGTTAAATTCCGGTCTGTTTACTAGCTCTTGGTGAAAGATACTGTACTGTGGTTTTCTTCTGTATGATTTCTTCATGTCAGACAAATTAACATTAACGTCTTCAGAGAATTCTCTCCTTTCTGGACACTCTTCAGAAAATGACTGTTCTAAATTTAAAATACTACTGTTGGAATAAATCTAGAAAGTTTTTGAAGCATTAGAAAACTGCTATTCCCTTTGGACTCTTAGTCTGCTGCTTTATGTTTTTAACTGTCTTTTGGTACAGCCGTAATTATTTATTCTTTCACTTTTCTAAAATGTCTCTTTTTTGAATTGTTCTTTTTCTTTTACACTTTTACTTGGGATTCCTTATGGTTCCGGCCAGAATTCTCTGCTGCTTTTCCAAACTCAAAAGTATCTGCAAAGCGTTACAAAGTCTCTGTGTTATAGTAATAGAAAATGAAGTGTACTGTTAGAATAAACCCAGCACTTAAATTGTCAGGTAGCACTCTTCTTTGGTAGGTCTCAAAGTCATTAATTTACATTTGTGACAGTTCCACTGAAACCACACAGGCAAAGAGATAAGTGAATTCTGCAAAGGCATCAGGCCAGTTAGTGTCTGACCTGGGAACATGAGTGAACAGGAGCAAGATTTACATAGCAGTAGCTGTCTCAGAACCTGTGGAGCAAAATATCATCCTAAAAGCAGACCTGTGTGGTTTGACAAGCTGTCAACCACACAACATCCATCTTCTTTGAAAACATAAGAGAGTTATCCTTAACACTGCAGCTTTGCATCCTATCCAAAGGTACTTTGCAGATAAATTTATTGCAGAGTTTCTGTGTTTTGTCAAAGCTGTCCTTTACTAACTTTTGCCATGTAGACCACACTTTGGCATTCCTACCCCGCCTATTAAAGATAAATTCTCTGTCATTCACAGAAATATGCAGCATATACCATAAGAGACAATGGCAAGAGACAGAATCCTGATGAGAATGGCTGAACTTCTATTCATGTTTGGGTTTGCCACCCTGTTTGTGATTTTGTGCTATGCTTGAGCTAGCAAGGGCTCATTTCGGAGTCTTTCTTTTAAGACACATGCAAACAGTCTTAGAAAGGAGAAGAAACTAAGCTCATTAATTCAAAACTCTTTGGCTTCAGTTTTTCACAGCATAAGTTGCTGGGACAGCACAAACTACATGCAGCTTATGTTAAGCAGATTGCTTATTACATTATGGAAAGCTACAGAGCTGTTGTGACAGCAAGAAAGAACCAAAGCAGAATTGAAAACACAAACAGGTTAAAGCAAGTATTGCTCCTGATGCTTAAGGAATGCAACTAAAGCCAAAAGATCTCAAAGGTGAAAAGTGTTGAGAGACCTGTAGGCAACTATATTGAAGCTTCTGATCTTGAGAGACAACCACTGCTAACAGCACCCAATATGTTTTGTAGGAAGGATGTGCATTTGTTACCAGATGGATTTTGAAATAGAGCTGAGGGGTCATCAGGCAATAATGAAAGCTTAATGGGCTCTTGTTTTAGCAGCTGAGAGTCACAGTTACACCTATGCCAGCATTGGTATGCTATCTTTATTGATGGACAGTTTAAACATCCTGAATCTGCGTTGGTTTTGGTGATCTATAAAAAAAGACAAAAATAAAAATTATTTAAACTATTCCATGTGGCAATGTGTTGATAAAATTATATCTTCTAAAAAGGAGATAGTCTTATTTCTGTCTTTCAGTGGAAGTAAAATGGGAACAATTTCTCTTCGTAATTGAAGTGGAAGTTGTAGGTGTGCACTACTATTAAGCAGAAGTCAGAAATATTACTCAGACAGGCTCAGACAAGTCAATTGTAAAAAATCTGGCAAAGTGGTAGCTGAGAGAGCCTTTGGGACTTATGTGTTATAAAAATAATTGTTGCATTAGAAAGGTAATCATTTTTTGTTTTTTAATTCATCTTCACTACATCGAAGTCAGTATAGGTATAGGTATATGCAAGTGGAAGGTTTGTCACCTAAAGAGTAAGGTTACACATTTTCTGAAATCTGGTCTTTGAAATCTGGTGTTTGTACCTAATGTGATTTTGGGGAAGCATGACAAATGTCCAACCAGCATGTCAAATCCCATGCACTGTGTTATAGTTAATAAATATTTTTTTTAAATGTCCCCCAAAAGAATGTAAGCACATATCAGTTTAGGATAAACAGTTCCAATGCCTATTTTATGCTTGTTTAAATAAGTAGTGGTAGCAGTGGCTTTGTTTCTTCTGCATGAGAAAAGCACAAAAGTACAAGATGCAGCATTGATACCCACTAGGAAAATTAGCTTTTCTTTTCAATGCATTTTCAGATTCAGAATCTCATTTTCAAATTAATGAAGCTAAAGAACTAAAAATCTTTTCTTACCATGTACTTGGTTACATTTTTTTATTTGAAAAAAAGTAGTGCCCTCTCACTGAGCAGATGAACATTCAGAATCAAGTATATTATCTGGTTATCAAGTATGTGTTTGTGGATTTCTATACCTATGTTCTCTGCAAAATCTGCAGCTAATAATGAGAGAGTAGCGATTCTAGGTTATCATTGGCATCATGCTCTAAATATCTGATAATGGCTTAGGTCAGCTGGAGCTAACTGACTGGTTGAGCCTCTCTGAGTTTTGACATGGCTTTGGAAGTCTGTGTTGGAGATATGGTGGTAAAAAAAATTGAAGTCAACTTGGTTTACCTCTGTGGCCATCTTTGCAATTGCAGAGCTGGTAGGGATTACCAAACTGAAAGTAGCATTCCTGTCAAACATCACTGGCGTCAGTTCTAAATCTCCAGTT